TTGGTATTTTAGACAATGAAAGGTGGGAAAACAGCCCGTTTTTTAACCGGGGCAGATGCAAGAAAACTCTCTCTCGACTTCAGGGAAACCCTAGAAGTGGCGGTAGTCACCATTTAATTGTTAGTGAAGGTGGAAAATCCCAGTGAGCAGAGATACAATATTATAAAGAACCTTTTAAAAAAGGTTGAAATAGCATTTCAGGATAATTCAATATAGTATTACAGAAATACAAAGTTTTTTTTAACAAAAAAACTGGCAAATAAATTCTGCAACAATGTTCTGGTACAGAAATCAAATAAACTTTACAATAATTCAATCTAAAATAGCATTAAATAATAAACATGCTTAAGGACTAGCAGATTACAAACAATCCTGCAATGATACAGATTTTAAACAAGTTGACAATAATAAGATTCTTCACGTTGAGAATAAATGGAAAAAGACCATATTGAATACTAGCAGATTGAAAGTCAGAGATGGACTTTGCAGAATACAAAATTTTGACAGTGTGGAGATGACTGTTCTTAACTTTCAGCATTGTCTCAATCAGCTGCGAAGTGCAGAGGTAGCACACAGTTTAAAAAGTTACAGAGAAAGAGGAGTTTACACATGCAAAGACCTTAATATGGCATAGCAATCTCCTTTTTTTAAGAAAAGATAACCAACTGGATTTGGAAGGGAAATTGGCGAACTCAGTGAACCAAGATTTTACAGAACTTGTGTTAATGGACATTCTGTTAAATTTAACGTCGATACAAATGCTAAGGTCACTATACTCTCAGACCAGTTTATGGTGGCTGGAGGGAAAACAGAGCCACAGCCTACAGAGATGAGACTACATGGCATAGGTGGAATGACTTTGAAGAACACTGCTATGAGTTTCTCTGCAACCAAGGAATGTCAGAGTTGAAAAAGTTTTGTGATTCACAATCAACACATGTTTGAGCCAACATATAGATTTGGACCTTAGCTTTCTGAACTCAAAAGGAGTCACACTAGTTCCAAGAGAATAGCTAGTCCAGAAGCATACAGTTGTTGAAACATTAGCCCAACATTAATCTGCGGGTGGCCAGCTGGTCAAGGGGCAACCAGTAGAAGATTTAATTTGCATTCCAAGAATCATGGAAGGACCCCAAAAAAAAAATTTTTCCTTTACGGAATCACATGTCAATCTCAAAAATGTTTCGAAGGGCTGAGAAGCCGGCCAGCTGAGGGAACGTCAATCAAAGTCAATAAGAACAAGGTAAAGAAGAAGATATGTTAGCCTTCATAGTGAGTGGATTCGAGTAAAGGAACAGGAATATTCTACTGCAATTACACAGGGCCTAGGAGAGACCTTGAATATCATGTGTAGTTTTGGCCTTTTTTTTCTGAGAGAGAATATTCTTGCTATAGAGTGAGAGAAGCGAAGTTTTACTAGACTGATCCTTGGGAAGGCAGGACTGACACGTGAGGAGAGTTTGAATTGGTTAGGTTTATATTTGTTGGAGCTCAGAAGCACGAGGGGAGATTTCATAGAAACCTTTAAAATTCCAACTGGACGAGACCAGGTAGATGCAGGAAGTATGTTCCTGATGGTGGGGGAGGGGGAGTCCAGAACCAAGGCCCCAGTCCAACGATATGGGGTAAACTGTAGGTGAGAATTTTTTTTTTCACTCAAAGTAGTGACCCTGTGGAATTCAGTGCTACAGAAGGCAGTCAAGGCTAAAATTATTGTGATTTCAAGAAGGGTTTGGATGTAGCATTTGAGTTTAAAGAGATCAAAAGACATGGGATAAAAGCAGAAACAACCTATTTAGTTGATGATCAGCCCCAAAAACACAGTGAGCTGACCAAGTGCACGTACTTTGAGCACTGACAGCAAATCGATACAAAATAGTCAATGCCAATGACAGAGTTGGTGCTGAGTGAACAGCAACCCTTATCACGATGAACATCAGAGTAGGCTGAGACTAACTAGGGAGTCTATGATTTGGAATTATTACTGGCTGCACCAGTGTTTTCAGGAATAGCCAGCCATCTGCACAATATCATGTGGTGACCTGATTGTTGAAGTCTCTTCAGCTATAGAAATTAGATCTTAATAATGCTATCAGCCAACTTATTGATGATATTATCAGTATTACCTATCTTGATCATTCCTTCCAGGATTAGAAAAATTCACCTTTATGGGTTGTAAGCAGTTATTTCACACAGAAACACACCCTGTAAAATTTATGAAGTGAATAAAATTATTATTAAAAATCTTTTTTTTTCATCTCTGCAACCTTGCTTCAAATCCAGCCCATACAGATGAGATGAAGGTTTCTTTTTTCTATCTGATGACAGTTGAGTGTACTAAGTGAAATATCATTTGGCTCGTCTCTGTTCCTGCTCAACACCAGCTCACTAAACAAAAATATCATCATATTTGGAAGAGTCAGTGATATTTAACATGTTCAGTCAGGAAAAGTCACTAGGATAGAACATGTGGAGATTTAAAATAAGTGCAGTAGAAAGTGTTCATCATAAGACAAAGTAATGGTCTATTATTATGTTCTATCTAGCCCACACGGTAGACTCAAGGGCTACCATAAGTACCTAAAAACTGAAAGAATTACAAGTATTGGAAATCAGAAGCAAAAACAGAAACTGCTGGAAAAGCTCAGCAGGTCTGGATCTGAAACATTAACTTTGATTTCTCTCCACAGGTGCTGCCAGACATGTTGAGTTTTCCATACCATAAGTACATGATGTCTACTGTGACCTTTTGTATTTTTCTTCTACAAAACCACTGTAGAATATTCTGTATAGAAAGAGAATGAAAACTAGTTTGGAAAATGTAATAGCAGAGTCACAACAACCTGAGGGATGCATGTGCCCCATCCCAAGTAAATTTTGTCATCTGTTATTTTTCTTAACAGATGGAGTTTAACCCTGAAAAATGTGAGGTGATTCATTTTGGAAGGACAAATTTGAAAGCAGAATACAGGGTTAATGGAAAGATTCTTGGCAGTGTGGAGGAGCAGAGGAATCTCGGGGTTCATGTCCACAGTTCCCTGAAAGCTGCCACCCAGATGGATAGAGTTGTTAAGAAGGCGTATGGTGCGTTAGCTTTCATTAATAGAGGAATTGAGTTCAAGAGCCATGAAGTTATGCTCCACCTATACAAAACCCTGGTTCGGCCACATCTGGAATATTGTGTCCAGTTCTGGTCGCCTCATTACAGGAAAGATGTGGAAGCGTTGGAAAAGGTGCAGAGGAGATTTACCAGGACATTGCCTGGAATGGAGGGAAGGTCTTACAAGGAAAGGTTGAGAGAGCTAGGGCTTTTCTCTTTAGAGCGACGAAGGATGAAAGGTGACTTAATAGAGGTGTACAAAATGATCAGAGGTATAGATAGAGTGGATAGCCAGAGATTTTTTCCTAGGGTGGAGGTAGCTATTATGAGGGGGCATAGTTTTAAAGTGAGTGGACGTAGATATAGGGGAGACGTCAGAGGTAGGTTCTTTACTCAGAGTGGTAGGGGCGTGGAACACATTGCCGGAGAGGGTAGTGGAGTCAGCCTCATTAGGGGCATTTAAGTAGCTATTAGATAGGCATATGGATGATAGTATAAGGTATGGCTGGCGGTTAGATAGACCTTAGGTTTAGGGTAAAAGTTCAGCACAACATCGTGGGCTGAAGGGCCTGTACTGTGCTGTACTGTCCTATGTTCTATGTTAACCCTACTTCACTTTTTTGAATTTCACTTCATTTTCATCATTTCTAACTATAAATTCACAGAGGTACAGATTCTGTGGAATATGAAATGAGGCCACTATCAAAATTCCCTCTCAGGCAGATGTAGGCTTGCATAGGACTTTGGATTTGAAAATTCAAAATCCTACAACATCTATCGGTGAAAGAATGGGCTCTGTGTGTTTTCATCATTTGCAGGGCACGTAGGAACTCATGAGCTGGAATAGGTCATTCAGCCCCTTAAGCTTGTTGACTATTCTAGATCATGATTGATCATCCATTTTCTGGGCTAATCTTATGTCCTTTAATGTTGTTAGTGTTCAAAAATCTGGCAATCCTTTTCTTGACTATACTTTGATCACCTATTGTGTGTTGCGGTAGAGAATTCCAAAGATCGATCTACCCTCTGAGTGAAGAGAATCCTCTTAATTTCAATCTTAAATGGTGTGCCTCTTACTCAGACTCTGTCCCCTGCATTTTGATTCTGCCCTCTGCCAGCTAAGGGAAACATTCCTTATGGTTCTACCCTGTCTAGAACATCAATGAATTTTGTAAGTTGTAGCAAGACCACATCATTCTTGTCAACTTTAGAGAATACAAGCCAAGTGTTGACTTCACAGGACATTCCCACCATCCCAGGAATTAGTTTGGTAAATCTCCACTGCAATCCTTTTGGAAAATAGATCCTTCATTAGTTATAAGGATCAAAGCTGCATATAATACTCCAGGCATAATGTCACCAAGCTTCTATATAATTGAACCAAGACATCACTACTCTTTACTCATTTCATATTGCGATAAAGTCTGACATATCGTTTGCCTTTTGTTTCCTTGCTATACCTACATGTTAGCTTTCAGTAATTTATGAACAAGGACACCTAGGTGCCTTTGGATGTCAACATTTTCCAATCTCTCTCAATTTAAGATTCACTCTACTCATTCTTCCTACAAAAGCAGATAACCTCAGACCGATCCATATATGTCTATATGTTCCATCAGCTATGTTCTTGTCCACTCACTCAACCAATTTAAAAAGTAAGGAGCTGTCCTTTCATCTGAAGTTTTAAAAAACAAGCTTGAGCTTGAAGAAAGCCAGTTTGTTTTCCCTCCTCTGTTGCTATGGTTTTTAACCAATAAGTCAGAGACATTTATAAGCGTGAACAACTTACTCTTTTTTTTTGCTGAATTCAAAAGTGCTTCTGATCCTCGGGTTTTTTTTTTGGCAACTTTGTAAGCCTCTTCCTTTTGATCTAATACGGTTTTTCAACTTCTTTTCCAAGGTGCCATTAGACAGACGGGTGTTGGCATGGATTTTGGCTTCAGCGGCTAAGGAACTGGGATTCAAACCTGTTTTGGTGCAGTACTCTCCACTAGGGATCTGAGATCTGAATAGAACAAACGAAATGTATCTGCTAGGTTTGCAAAGTACAAACCAGATAGTATCAGTTAAGAAGATTTAATTCAAAATCCCATTTTTCTTTCTGTAAGTAATTTGATAATGAAAGAGCGTGAGAAATAAGAAAAAAGTTATGAAGCAATAATAGTCTTTTTAAACTCTTTAAACATCCTGATAATTTAAAACCTAAAAGAATGGGAGTCTACACTTGTAAAAGTTAACTTAAGTTCTGACCAAGTTTTGAACAATTCAAACTCTTTCTGGTGAGCTAGATCAGTATGTAATAATGTGAGTACTGCAACTTGGCCCCCATTTATATGTTTCATCGACATTTTTTTTGTTATTTATTGGTGTAGCACATCTTGAGGAATAGAGTAACTTGGATGGCAATTTTCTGATTTCCATGTTTTACTGGACATGTGCAGTTACCAAAGATTGCAATCTGATTTTTCACTTTAATAATGTTGTGTGCTATTACCTTCAATCGTCAATTTTAAGCAAAACCTGGGCAATATATCAGAGTTGTCCAGTTGTACTGTGTTAGTCATTGTTCAAGATTGTAGAATAGATATTATGTTTGGTCCCCTCCCTGCAAAAGAAAAACTACACTGGACACAAAGCCAGCTGGTACTGGGAGAGTTAAATTCATTAGAAATTCCAAATCTCAAGTGGTTTTGTATAACCTTGGTATTGCATTTTGCATGATATCCTTATCGTTTTCCACTACAGTTTATCTAATACTGGCTGGATTTATTCCTTCTAGTTACTGCATAATTAATAAAGTGTGCCTGCAACAGGTGTGGTCTCACTACTGTATGTTCATTATTTATCTCAAGTTCTACAAGATGTCCCTGACTTAACAAACCCCTGTTTATGATTGTATGTGCCATAGCCTTGCTTCATACTTGCACTAGATGAGTATAACCTTGTGCATCTCATTCTGTTGATGCACTGAAAATTTTGCATGGAGTTCTTCTCACAAAGTGATAGTTGTTTGCACCTGCCTCAAAGTAGAAGAGATGGGAGCAACTTGCATGACATGTCCTCCAAAATGAGTCAGAAAATATGAAAATGATATATGCATGTTATCTATGAGCTCAATGAGTACTGATTTTAAAATGGAACTATTAATGGAAAAAGAAGCAATAACCAAATGTGAGAGAGCCATCTTGGTAACATTCAACTGTTCAAATTCTGTTGTTTCCACAATTTGATGTTTTCATAAAATTTGGGTGTACTGGAATGTTTTCTTTCATTGTTGCATAAAATAAAATAAATGTGTAACTTGTGTTTTCAGAAAAGTCTACAAGCACAGATTTGCTGCACTTATTAGTAAAAGAGTCAAACGATAAAAGAGTAAAGCACTGGAGCTTCAACATCTCATTTCAAATTCGTTTTTTTTCAATAACTGAATTTTATTGTAATAAATCATGGTGCAAATGCTCAGCATTTCTTTGAATATCCTTGGTGTGTTTCTGACCAGTGCAATAAAGCAACTTTTTAAAAGCAGAGCACCAACTGCTTCTGTTTGATTTAAGTGGAGGAGGTGATGGCCTAGTGGTATTACTACTGGACTGTTAATCCAGAGGCCTAGGCAATGGTCTAAGAACCTGGGTCCAAATCCCACCATGGCAGATGGCGGAATTTGAATTCAGTAAAGAATCTGGATTAGGAGTGTAATAATGACCATGAATCCATTGCTGATTATTGCAGAAAAGCTCATCTGATTCACTAATATCCTTTTAGGGAAGGAAACTGCCATTCTTACTTGGTCTGGCCTACATGTGACTCTAGACCCATAGTAATGTGGTTGACTCTTAGCTGCGCTTTGGGCAATTAGGATTGGGCAATAAATGGAGGCCTCACCAGTGACATCTTATTTCTGCGAATGAATAAGAAGGAAAAACTGGATTTCATCATTGACCATTCAAATTTGGGTTTAGCACATTGTATTTCCTTTGCATTGAATCATTGACGCAGGTGAGGTCTATCCACTTTTTAAGTAATCGTAAGGATTTTGTTTGTGTGTGATGATAATCACTTTACTTTAGAGATTGCAGTCTTCCATGGCTTAGGAGTATCTCAGCTTGGTGATTACTGACTTGTTAGCTTGTAAAATTTTAACATGGTGGTGTCAATGAAGCTTTCTGCATGCCAGCTTCTTTGAGGATCTTGGAGGCAAGGGAATTTTGATTGCAAAGTTGCATTAGTGGAATATGACAACAGCACACAATATCAATGCCACCAGATCCTTTAAAGCAAATGTAGAGTCTGTGTAAAATCAGTCAAGGTGCATCTAGCTATGCAACTGTCAGCTAATGTTTTAGAGAGTTAGGGAATTCATTTGGTTTGTCATGGCAGTAATGAAGTAACACAATAGAGCCATTCAGTTCCAAATCACTATTTTGGATTTCTCAAAATGCACAAAGTGCACTCTATGGCATGCAAACAGTAGTGCAAGCTTTTCAATATTTTTAATGGCAGGAAATGCTGCACATTCATCATGTAGATTGTATATTGTCTACAAAGAGACACAACTGGTTTTAAAAACCTCCCTGCTTGAGTTTCTCTTGGTCTATGATCCATATCAGGTTTGGCCTGATAGGGAAGCTCATGATTCCACACTTGGATCTCCAAATAAAATTTCAATTGGCTCCCAAAGACATAATTGAATGCAATTTCCATGTTTAAACATGACCATATGCATGCAGCCTGCTCACTTGTTGAAGTGAGTGGTTAATGTCAGGATGCAATGCAAAGGTAGTCGGGATCATACTAAGTTTCTTGGGGAAAAATTGTCCCCCACCATGCAGGTTTCTGCTAGATGGGCAATATTTAAGTAGAGAGCTAACAGCACACCTGAGTCATCTGTTACAGTTACCTGTTTCTCTTAACCACTCACCTTTCCCCTAGCATGCTGATTTTAAAATGTTTACTCATTCAATACTTTTTAAAACCTACATTAGAAATTTTCTTTCTCTTCATCAGCATAGAACTCCTGCATTGTACAGGAGCTTCATTCAGTCTCTACTGATAGTACAGGATTTGTACTGTTTTCATATGATGGGGCAAGAATAACATTGCGGCAAATGGCTGTGTGGAAATGGGAAAACTGTGTTGTTCCAATTCAGCTAAAATATGCCTCTTACACTAAAAATACAGTGTTTATCAGGCAACAAACTAGCTGTAATTGGATGACAGTCTCCAACAAAGAAATCATCATGAAGAGTTTGGAAACTGGCTTTGTGAGGCAGTGCTTTTCTGAGGTTGAGGCTATCTTGGAGTTTATAGGTATTTATCATCCTTCACACCCGTGCTAAACCCAACTTGGAGGTATGTGTAGCTGGAATGAAAGGGCGGCGTTTTCTTCTTTTTGAGATGTAGTGGTGAACCTAGCAGCAGGATGGACTCCCACAGGGCGAGTGTCAGGCTTTCTGATGCAATTATATTCTACTCTGTTCGTTATATCTTCGTGAGCAGGGAAGATGCCAAATTTTATGGCAGGAAGTTAAGCTGGGACTTTCTGGGCTCCCATTGTATTGAAAAGGCCACCAGACAGCATAATGCATCCTAAGAGTATAACTTCACCTCTGCTCATCATCACCATCTAACCTTTGAAGATATGAGACATCAGGCAAAAAGTGCTGCCAGGCTTCAGGTGATACCTCCCTAGATGTTCTCCTGAGGCTGTGCAGGATGAAAGGGGCATTCTTTTCTCTATGGGCAGCAGGACGAGGCCATGCTTGCCTTGACAACACCGCTCCAGTGCTGCAAGAGGATAAATGATCTGCTACCCTCTGCCACTGTACAACTGTCTACTCAATATTTCACACTCCTGAGTGTGAGCCAGGGTTTTAGATTGTCATGGCAGAGGACTGTCACACAAGAGGTTCTCTACCTGGTATCTGCAGCAAATCGCTGATAAGCAATCAATAGCTAATGCCTTATTTCCATTACAAACTGGCAACAAAGTGGTACTACCTCTCAGATCTGCCAGGGTTCACACTTAAAACATAAAAGGAACTAAAGCATTCAGTAGCTCATGAACCATCAGACAACTGACCTTTTCATCAAAACTAGGGGAACATATACATCTGATTAGCTTTTCACCAGGCACTTATATGGGACAAGAACACATCTCAGAGAATGGCTTTTTGGATTGTAACCCCTTTTTGAGTAAAACTGCACTTGATTGTTCTGATCAGATTTGCTGGTGTCAATTACTGTATAGCTGCCCTCATTTGTTCATCTGGTCAGGCTTCCCCTCTAACACTCTATTTAGTTGCATAAAGAAACACTTGGAAATGAAGGACTGAAGTCATTGAAGAAAATTAAACTCACTAGAATCTGGAGAAAGGACAGCATCTCACCAGGAAATATATGGGGTTATGAACATGTGTTTCCCAGCGTTTGTCTAACTAGATTGTGCCTGTGAACATAATTTCAGTGGGTTAATGTGTTAATGGGTATTTGTGATATGCTGATTAGTACAAATGGGATTCCCACCCATGAAGATCGGGTAAACTTCCAATCCAAAAGCTTAATCAAAAAACTTTAACATGGCATGGAAAACTGAAATTTTGCCTCCTTGCCCAATTAAGCTTCTTTGCCCACATTTCTACAAGCTCAGGGTGGACTCGGAAACATTCCAGACCATAGCTTGGAAATTAAACAATGACTTTTATCAATCTGAATTTGCTTAAGACATTTGCATCAAATTCCTCCTTTGGGAATTTTTAACCTACTAAAACCTGTAAACAGCTTCATAAAAAATGCTTGAGGGGAGATATTGAGTATTTAGACATTACAAAATTTTAAAATTAAATATCAAAACGGGTAGTGTTTCAATCTCGAGTGAAAGAAGGTAAGAGCTAGAGTAGGATATTCAGTTATTGCTTTTATTCTTTTAGAACATTGGTTAATCAGCATGGCTGATCCATTTACCTACAATTTTTTTT